TCCCCAGCCAGCTGGGGAATTCTGGGAGTCGAAGTCCACCCATCTTCAAGCTGCCAAGGTTGAGAAACCCTGCGCTAGAGTCCATAGGACTTGAAAGAGCTGGGGGGAATGGCTTGGCCCAATGTGAGCGGAGTTTCCCTTGAGTGAAGCTCACCTCCTGGTGCTTGTAGGGGTGTATCTCCTTAGAAATAGTACGGAAACCTTCTTCTGAGGTTTTTTTTCCCCCCACATCTAACGATTGGGATTTTCTCCCCTCCAAGTAGTAACCAGGTCTAAATGTTGTTAAGCGGCAGGGGGTGGGGGAGGGAATCGATGAAGCCTGGCTAGGGGCGGCAGTGAAGAGATAAATGAAATTTCTCCTGTAATATTCTTTTGTTGACCTTCATGGAAAGGCCAGACTAGCAGATCTGGGGGATGACTTACAATGTTTTGCTTTAGCGTGCAACTTTTTGCTCCTCGGCTTATAATTCAGCAGGATAGGCTAGCCCTTCTTACAATCCAGAAATTTGCTGGGTATTTTATGGAGGAGGACAGGTGTAGTCTCAGGTATTGATGCAAAGGTTAGGTGGAGGCCCCCTCTTCAGTGTTAGAGAAACAGGAGATAATCGTTTTGCCTTCATCTCTTCACGCAGGGACTATCTTGCCATGGTGAAGAATTCTGGGTTCTGATTCAGCACCCATTTTCTTCCATTCTTAGCATTTCTCTCTGGGAGTCTTACAGCAATCCCACATAGGTGAACCCAGAAAATAGGCCATCTATTCCATATCTATTTGCTGCCCTTGAAGTCTATCCAGATTTGATCTTGGAGACCCCTTGGTTTCTTCTACCCATTGATCAGGTAGCCCCAGATGCTGACTTGCCCAGAAAGAAGTTTATCCCAACTCTTTATGTCCTTCTTAACAGCTATCTGAAACATGGACAGTTGGTATTTACCGGGTTAAAATCTGGATGGTTGCTGTTTTTCATCCTTCGACACCCACTTTTCTTCTCCTTTCTGTGGGATGGGGGCAAGAGGAGGTATGAAAAGATATTGAAGAAGAAAGAAAAGGAACTTATGGGCCTGGCTTGTGCAATATTGCTTAAGCTGGCCTGTTGGAAAGTTCATCCAGAGTGGGTGGTTTTTCCAGCCCAATCTTTTAGGGTTGCAATATTAGAGATGGAGGTTAGGATCTTCAGCAGTCAACATTTTTGTGGACCTGTTCCCCCACCCACTCCAGCACTGTTCCAACTCAAATAGAGCGAAGTTGGGCTGATTTCTGTTTGGAGCGGGTTTCGTTTTTCATCAGCTGCAAAAGGGTGTGAAATTCCCTTCAGGTGGATGAGAAATAAAGGATATGCTTCTTACAGCGTGGGGGGCACCTTCTTATTGCCCACAGAGGTACGATTCGAGTGGCGTGTCATTTTTGGGCATCGCTTGCAGCTGGATCCTCCCCCCCCCCACATCCTCTTTGCATCAAAGACTGGGATTCTGGGGGGCCCCAGAGTTACAGGACAGGGCTCCATTTTAAACCTCTGGCTCTCTTGGATCAGTTTTGCGGTCCAGCAAGGCGTGATCATTCTCTCTCCGAGGGTAACAAAGACTGATGTGAACCACTAATGTTTGCTGGAGATTTTTCCAAAGTGGGTCCTTCCAGAGATGGATCACTGCACATGTGCAGAGGTACATCATTGGGACACGTTGCCCCCAACCTGTCTCCCCACAGCTCCTCAGCCATCCACCTGTTCTTCGGCCCAGAGATCTCTTTCCACCTGTCTGTGAGCCTGGTTCCGTGCCTCGATGAACTCTGCATGAATGACTTGGGGTGTTTTTTTTCCCTTCCAGCTGACAGCAGCATCTCTGCCTCTCCCCGCCAATGGCAGCACACCCAGCCCTTGAAAGAATTACATCATTGACAGCCAATGGGAGGCCGGGGAAGGGATGCAGCATTCAGAGCGAGAAAAGGGATGGATAAAGAGAGGGACATTCAGGATGGGGGCAAGCCCCACACGCCTGTCTGCGTGGAAGAAACGGCTGGGATCAAACTCACAGAGAAAGCGAGCCCTGGTCCTCCGGCTGAACTTCCTCCGGGGCAGTCTTGTCAAAGGGGACGCATCCACCTTGTGCCCGGGCCCATCCTCCTCCTCCGCCTTTGGCCCGGGCCATAAACATTCACCAAGCTGGGACATGACATCACTGCCTTCTCTTTCCCCGAGAGGCCGGGGAGAAATGGAGAGGGTGGGTTTGTATGCTTAAGGCTCAGGTGCTTGGTCTGGAAGGGAAAACTCATCTATATGCAGAAGGTTTCCTATCTAAATCTGTCATTATTATTCATTACCCCAGCAGGCTTCACCCACAGAGGGGGTTAACCCTTTGTGGAAGAGACCCGGTTTGTTAGCTTTCCCCCACGAGTTCAAGAAAGCTTATCCGACATTCCCTCCTCCCGTTTCCCCCCATAACAACTCCCCAGTGGGCGCAGGCATCGGGGGAGCGGGGCAGGGATGGCACAGAGCCCCTGATGAAACTCTGTCCCTTACGTATTTGCGGGCAGCCTTGTGCCCCGAGTGCAAAACCAGCAGAGCTTGCGTTGCGGTGTCACCGCACGCATGTTGTCATCGCGGTGGTGAGGAATGGATGTCGGTCTGCCAAGGAGGTTGGACTAGAAGAGCGATTGCCCCCAAAGTCTTAAATCCAGGGTGGATTTAAATCTGGCTGTTCCAGATCCTAGTCCAACATCTTAACCACTTCACCACAGTGATCAGTGAAGCGGCGGCGGAGGAAATAGGAGGGGAAGAATTTTGCATGTGCTCAGCGTGCTCTGTTGCAAGGCTCATCTTCGTGTTTTTTCTTCAGCTGAATGCGCTCACATTGACTAGTTCACTGGGGCACTAAGCCTCTGAAGGGACTCAGCAGGGTCCGTCTTCCCATGCCATGGTTGGGACCATGTTAATTTTCCACGTCTTTGTAAAGGTAACATCACGCCTATGTAATAAGACTTCGCAGGCATGCACACACATGCAGTTGTTGGTAAACATGTTGGGAGCGCAAGGAAGTTTGCATGGCATTGCTTCAGACCTGTTAGCTGGGTTGTCTCGTTTAGGCAGACGGCGAGCCAGAAAATGGCTTTAAATCCAGATGCGGCAGGAAAAGCTAGGTGGCAAACGACAAAAATCCACTCTTTGCCCTGAGCGACGCCGTCATCTACCAGTCTTCTCATTGTTAAACCGGGCGAAAATAATGCTCTTGGCCTGCATTGAAGCAGAAAGCCTCTCTTGGGGAGCGCCGTAGTGGGTTTCTATTCCCTAAATAAGATCTGGAGGATCTTGGCCTTTGTGCCAAATATTACTTTGGCTCATTGCAACATTTCCAGGCCTTCTCACAACACAGGGTGGCCCCCCTCACTTCATACATGCGCAGTAAACGGCTCTTTCACGACTGCAAGCAAAATTCAACCAAGCAAAGATACAGCGATAACATTAAAAAAAAACCAAAAAACCTACAACTCAAAAGAGCTAAAACCACAGAGGCTGTTTAAAATAAACCCTAGCTAGCAGCTGAAAAAGCCCTGGGATTTTTGTTTTCTTTTCTTTTTAAGTTGTTGGTGCCGTAAAGAGTACCAAATGCTGGGCAAACTTTTCTAGGAGGAGCCATGCACAGCTGGGGTGCCATGACCCTTCAGCTTCCCTGTCAACGCTGGACCTCAGTGAGGACCTCTCCTGAGACGGGCAGGTCCGTGGTATTTCCTGCATGGGGAGCTTCTGCCCCGACCCTCCCCGATCAGGAGAGCAGGGGAGGGAAGCAGCCGCTATGATGTAGGGTCAAACTGGGTGGGGGTTTCTGATGGCCTGCTATGTTTGCCTGCTGGCAAAATGTTGGCTCTCCTCCAACCCCATCTCCCCAGAAAGGGTCCCTTCTCTTGAGACCCATATCAGCATCTCCCCAAATAACCGCCGTGTGCTGGAGAGGCAGAAGGGCGATTGTGTCCTGGAGGAGAGGGGGTTACAACGAAGGCAGCGGAGCCTTCAGAAGAGGCTGGTTCGAGGCTTCGGCTCCAGCCAAATGCTCGAACGCGCCCCAGTCGAGTGCTGGACAACCCAGCGGATCTCACAGCTGCGCGTCTGCTGCCAACCGGCCATTCGCCGTTGCAACCACTTCACAACTCATGTTCGCTTCCTTTTGGCTTGCTTCCCAGGTACCAGGGACCGTGGCAACCACGTGGGAGCAATTGAGGCTTTGCGCCATATGTGCTGAACCAGAGCCTGCCCAGCCAGAAGCACCATCGGTGCACAATTCCTTTTCGGCCTCCAGTCAGTTTGTGCGCCCTTTGCTTGAACGCAGCAATTCCTCTTGCGTCTTCAAAGGGCTTGGGACAGAATGGTTTTCTGTCTCGGCTCGGCGAAAACGTTGTTTGCAGCAGTCAGGCCAGATTGCACGGCACTCCGGAGACAGCCAAGTTACTTCCTCCTCCTGTTTGCCTTTCAAAAATGAATCAACTCTCTGATCAAGCAGCCCTTTTGCTCACTTTGAGGAATCAATCCACTAGCCCCATCCTTTTTTCCTACTCCCCCCTCCCCAGTTAAAAATCAATCCTGTTGTCTCTTCCTCGGATCGTCTCCCTTCAAGAGCTCCTACTTTGAGATGCCACAAAGATCTCTTCGGAGGTGGCCCAACTTTGAAACTTTGCCTTTCGTTATGGGTGGTTGGCGGCTGACTTAAAGGTCCCCTTTCTTCTTCTCTGCAGTTCTCCAAGGAGAAGTACATCCTTGACTCCTCACCTGAGAAGCTTCACAAGGAGTTGGAAGAAGAGCTGAAGCTCAGCAGCTCCGACCTGCGGAGTCACGCCTGGTATCACGGCCGCATCCCCCGGGAGGTGAGAGCTTCTGGCCAAGAGCACGTCTGGCCAGAATGGGATCTTAAGCTGGGCCTGATCAAGAGAAGGGAGAGAAATCACCTTGGTGGGGCTGGTGGTATCTGTCAGCCTGGATTTCTTAGATGGGTGGAGAAATGGGGGAACATGTAGTTGAGCCTTTCTAGGACAGGAGCGCTGAAGGCATGCCATAGATGACTGAATGGCATTCTTATTAATTACATGGAGAAAGTAAGGAATACAAGGGAAGCTAAAAAGCTGAAGATGAAAAGGTCACTACTGGTTTCTGAATGGGGGCCCCAGAGAGACCCTCCCTGTTTCTGAAAGAAAAGGGGTAGCCAAGATGTCCCTCAATATTGGGAGCAGTTAGTCAGGGACAGGCACTCTTGGATGTTTCTAAAACCGAAGCAACATGTCAGATGCTTCCTTCTCTTCCTCTCAGGTGTAGGGCTAGGCTTTAGGTATCCTCAAGGGATGATATTCTCTGCAGGTGCTCAGAGGCACTGTTGGTATCTTTGCATCCGTGGCATTCAGAAGAGCAAACAGCATCAGCTGCAGCATCCCTAGGACCAATCCTACCCCTGGACTTTCTTCAAACACTTGCACAGTGCCACAGGGCAGTTAACACCTTTTTCTCCATCTGGTTTCCAAGGTATCTGAAAGCCTGGTGCAGAGAAACGGGGACTTTTTGATCCGTGACTCGCTCACCAGCCTGGGCGATTACGTACTGACGTGCCGCTGGCGGAACGAACCCCTCCACTTCAAGATCAACAAGGTGATGGTGAAGTCCGGTGAAGGCCGCACACACATTCAGTACCTTTTTGAGCAGGAGAGCTTTGATAATGTCCCAGCCTTGGTGCGCTTCTACGTAGGGAACCGTAAGCCCGTCTCGGAACAGAGCAGCGCCATCTTCTACTGTCCCATCAATCGTACCTTCCCTCTGCGCTACCTGGAGGCCAGCTACGGACTTGCTAATGGGAAGCACAGTGGCCCACATGGCCATTCTGGCCAGAAAGGGGGGCACATCAAGAGGAGAAGCATCACCATGACAGACGGACTGACTGCTGACAAGATCACAAGGAGCGATGGGTGTCCCACCAGGTAAAAGGAGATATCCTTGGAAAAGCTCCATCTTGGTCTGTGGATGCCCCCACCCACATTCCAGAAGGGGGGACTGGCAAGTTTAGGGGCGAATCCTCGGTTTTGCAATGGGTGGTACCCCAGACCCAACTGAGAGGTTAGCTGGAGAAAGAAAGCCTGTTGATTCAACCAGATCTGAATTTCTGCCTTTTGAGGAAATGCACATTTCTGTGTTTCTAAGCCAGGTTTCTTTTTTCAAAGCAAGCCCTCACCATGGTTTCATGCCTCAGCTCCAATGCTACAATTCCGTTCTTTTGGAGGGATTTGCACTGATGTCTCTCTCCTTCTCCCTTAGCGTCTCCTTACCACATCACCGGGATATCATTCGGAACTGCGCAGTCAGCGTGGATCAGATCCAAGACCTCCATTCCCCGATGTCTCCCATCTCCGAGACCCCAACAACTCCAGCTTATAGCTCTGGTAGGAATAGCATTGTCAGAAGAAGAAAAGAAGAAAAAGGGGAGGGGGGTTGGATTTGCATAAACCCTGCATAAGTTATTTAACATGTACAAAATATCAAATACACATTTAAACGATTCATATAGTTTAAAAACAATAGCTGTGACTCCATAATACACTTCATCTGGTTTCTGAATTAACCCATTTTCTGCGTTTGGACCATGACCCAACCACAGGAACCCCTCCCTAACTACAATGACACCAAAGTGGCAAAATGCACGTTGTGATGGCACGACACAAGTTCGGTCCTCTCGTCCCTTGTGTTGTGATATTGCGTGCAAGAACTATGGGGCAGAGTTTTCCCTGGGATGTTGCCACACGCGCTTCCTGGCTTTTTTCTGACTGCTCTACCTTGCAGGAAGCTACCAACCACAAACCAGCCAGTCAGCTGGGTTCTTACAGAACGCTGAACCGCAAAGAGTCGAGCCAAGGTTCAGGTTATCAAGCTTAACGTGTGCAAATGCAGCCTCCAGTTAAGCCTGTTGTTTTAAAGAGACAGGCAGTGTGTTTCATCATCATGAAGAAGTGGGTGAGGAAAGAAATTGCACGCCTGTTCTTCCGTCTGCAGTCTTAGTGCGGCCTGCAAGACATCCTTCTGCTCTTTGAATTCTTTATTTTTAGCATGCACTTAGACCTGACAACCCTTCAAATAGGGTATTTTTTTCAAAAGCAGAAATAACACAGGGCACGTGATTATCCTAAAAGTTCAAGTCTTAAACTCAGAAGGCTCCAGTTCGGTATCTTTAAGCCAAAGCTCTTGGATGCTGGGCATAGCTCCTTGGTTATCCTCACCAGGGTTAACATGCATAACATTCTCTAGCTTAATTTTTTCCTAGGACTGATTCCTCCATACATTCCCTTCTTTGTCACAATTTTTGAAAAGTCCTGATTCTCGGAAGTACTAAGGGAATTCAGCTAGTAGCCACACCACTTTAGTTCACATCACAGGCCCAAGTCCTCTCAACACAAAGTCCCCCACAATGTGCATTTCAGTTTCAAATGAGCACACATGCCCTCATTTCAAAGGAGCCGCGCAACATTGCACTGAGCGACTCCTGCATCTCGAGGGCTCGCTTCTCAACTCGGGCTTGCAAGCATCCAAGCTTTGTGACAATCGGCCTCTCGGCTTCCTTTTTTGCAGTTACTCGCCTCAAACCACAAGTGGGACAAGCTGGCCACGGTGCCGCCCCGACATCCCCGGTCATCCGACGCTCTAGCGAGCCGCAGCTGTGCCAGGGGAACGGCAGCAAGGGTGAGCTGTCGGACAGCACCCACTCCACCCCTTCCCACGGGTGCTCCAGGGCATCCCCTTCTCCTTCTGCCAGCAGCTACAGCGACCCAGATTCAGGACATTACTGCCAGCTCCACCCTCCATCTCCGGTCCAGTGGGACAGGCCGACTCCCGACAGCAAGCTGATGCCAGCCAAGAGTTATGTGGAGAGACTAAAGGGGGACGAGTGCCAGCGAGGGCTTGTCCTGAATGGCTCCGAAGGAGAAGCCGGGCCCAGGAAGAGGCCGGAACAGGACATGGTGGGCTTTCTTCTCCCGGTGGTGGAAAGGACATCCTCGTTCAACCCCGCGCTCTTCCACTCCTTACTTATTCCGGTGGAAAATAAGCCTCTGGAAATGGTGGTGCTGAAAAAGATCAAGGAGCTCCTCGCGGAAGGAGATGCAAGGACTCTCGCTAAGCATATCACCCAAGTGGACTGCCTGGTAGGAGGGGGGGCAGTTGGGGGGGAGCAGTTAAGGTTGCCCGATAGAAAAGGGATGCTTTGCTCCGGTCCTTTCCACAGCCGGTAACTGGGTCAGGCAATCCGCTTGGTTGCCTCTTGGGGAAGATCACTCTGGGCTGCAGGTGATCTGCAGGTCAGCAGAAAGTCCAATTCAGTCCCTCTCGGAAAGACATCGCTGCCGAGTAGTGGGCAGAAAATTCATGAGATGGCCAGAGGGAAGGGATTGCCTGATTCCAGGGAGCAAGAATGTGGCAAATCTCAGCAAGATACCGAGTAGTCTATTATTATTATTATTATTATTTAAGTCTCCCCTCTGATCTGGTTTGGAGCCGCATCTCCCTGTAGCTCTCGCTCAGCCACCTCCCCACGTTTTGTCTTATTTCAAGCACCGGTTTGTGGAAAATGAATCGGTGGTGGGTGGTGGTGGTTTTTCCCCTCTCTGTCTTCTGGTCCTTTCTTTAATCAGAGCCAAGCGGTGATCCGCAGGCTTGAAAACTAGAACAGGAATAAAGAAGAGAGGCTGTTTGGGGTAAAGGGACTGGATTAGAAACTGGGAGGCTGGGAGGTCTGGTCCTCCCATAGGCGTGGAAGCCAATTGGGTGGCTTCGGGTCGCTCTCTTTCAGCCCAGCTGGTGGCAAGGCAGAGAAAGATAATTTAATAGTGTCTTCTTGGGGTCAAATCTGCTCACCTTCTCAGACTAACCAGGACAGATTGCTCCAGATAAGTCATCTTCCAGAAAATGGGGGGTGAGGGGGAGGAAGGCTTGGAGGATGTCTTTTATTGTGTCTTCTCCCCACACCACTGTGGAACAGCTTGCCCCAAAGTCAGTCCCCCCCACCTCATTTTCCTTTAGGAAAAGAGTTTTCTTCTGGAGAGGATTTGGCAGGGAGAAGTTTTAACGCTGGACAACAGCTTTGGGAGATGGCTCTCTTTTTAGACTATGTACAGATTATATTGACTGAGATAGTTTCTCCATGTAAGGGTCTCCTGAATTGGGGGCACATCATCTTCTGAAATAAATCAATGTAAACTTCTGTACTAGCAGAGGGCCTGGTTCTCAATCTTCCTCTTATCAGCTGAGAAACCTGAGAGCATCTCCAGGAGACGTGAAAGACATCAGGATGGGGGAAGGTTCTTCTTACTGTCTCCTGTGGGTCCCCCCCAATGATTTTGCAGCACTAGTGATGTCTTTATTTCACGTATTGGCCTCACGCCCTCTGTTCTTCAAAGGCTACAGGATGAGACCATGTCGGATCTTGTTTTTAACTGAACGGGGAGCGTGAACCGCTCAGAGCTGAGCCTACGATTGGGAGAGACATTCCTGGAGGGCAACCCAAAGAGGGGTGTAAGGGCCAGGACCAGAGGGAGAAAAGGAGGGAGCCGCTGTTTTCAGCCAGTCTAACCCTCCAACTTCACGACCTGCAGATTTACTGTTATCGGGTAGAGGCAAAGGGCAGGAGAACAGGCAGCGTGGTTCAGAAGCATCAGGGCAACGATGCTGGGGAATCACAAGAGACTCCAGTTCAATAGCACGGAGCGGGCCTGGCAGGAGAAACTTTGGTTCCCTTTCTTCGCCGAGGCTGTTTTTTCCTCGCCCGACTTGACGGCCCAGCGTGAGTCCTCCCAGGAGTAGGAAAGTGCAGAAAGACGAGATAGGAAAGCGAATTTATTAGAGTCGTTGTCATTCCTGCTTCCTCGGTTATTTGCGGAGATGCCCCTCGCCATCCAAGGACGGAGAGATTAAACCACTTTGTCCTCTTTGTTGCAGGTTGCTAGGATACTGGGCGTTACCAAGGAGATGCAGAGGCTGATGGGCGTGAGTTCGGGGATGGAGCTGCTCACCCTGCCCCACGGACATCAACTCCGGCTTGATCTGTTGGAAAGGTAGAGTGCAAAGCCGGGCAAAGTAAAGGAGAAGAGAAGTGGTGGGGAAAGAGGAGGGGGGACAGATCCAGCAGGTTGCCACCTTTTTAGACATGGAATTTGGGGCTGGGTACAGAACTGAGCTTGCTTGCAAGTTCCTAGTCCTCAAGGCTCGAAGCCCTTGGAAACAGCCAGTGCGGATGGCCGCAGCTGCTAATGAGGCCGGGGTCTGAGGGCAACGTCTCCCTCCGGTTACGCCGTAGGTTCCACACCATGACCATTATGATCGCGGTGGACATTCTGGGCTGCACAGGCAGCATGGACGAGAGGGCCTCTCTTCTGCACAAGACCATCCAGTTGGCAGCGGAGCTGAAGAGCACCATGGGCAACATGTACAGCTTTGCCGCTGTGATGAACGCGCTCGAAATGACTCAGGTACCCGCAAGGGCCTTCATCCGTTGCATGTGCCGCGTGGGAGGAGGGGTTGAGAAGGTGCTGGCTGGGGAAAGCTATTTGGGGCCCAAAGCCAAAGCTCCTGAACATATGGAAGCCTTAGAAAAGCTCAGCCTAGTCTTGGTTTAAGGTTCATTCCAGCCAGATTCATTTTTTTTCCTCTGCTGAGCCAGTCTTGCACAGCTCCTTATGTTCTGAGCAGCAAGACCATGCCCACCCTTCCCAAATGCTACTCACTCGCCAAGGCCATGCTCTTGGCCCCTGGAATATAGCCTGTCAGGTCAGTATCCCTGCCCTACAATGAGCTATTTCCCCTTGTTCTTCTGGCTTCCAGATCTCCCGCCTGGAGCAAACGTGGATGGTTCTACGCCAGCGTTACACGGAGGGGGCCATTCTCTATGAGAAGAAGCTGAAGCCTTTTCTAAAGAGCCTCAATGAAGGAAAAGGTGAGCTGGACACTCTTTTGTATACAGACCTCGGTGAATCTGCACAGGCGCTTTATCAGCACACTTTTTTTGAAGAGTTCAGTTACAAAGCCGATCTGCCCAGAATTCCTCTGCAAGTAAGCAAAGTCTTATGCTTCCTCATTTGGCCTTTTAATTGTGCACACACACACACGTATTGTTGTACACAGGATATTCGCGAGATAGAAAAAGCGCCTTACGCCGGGTCTGCTTTGCACATTTGGCTGCCAAAAGAGATTTCTCACACTCTCTCTGAGCTCTGACCTAACTCATCAGAGAAGCGTGCCAAGATTGACGCTGAGCCTTCTGCATGAACAGCAGGTGCCCTCCTGTTTTTAGGCAAGGGGCCTTTTCAATCAGAGCTTTTTTTATACAGTAAGGAGAGTCCTCAATTCACCCATGGAAAGTACGGTGGAAGTGGAACCGAGATATCTTCCAAAGCTAGATCAGTTGAGATGAAACTATCTGAATCTGCCTTTTCTTGTCTACTGAGCAATGGCTGTAGGAGGCATTAACATAACCCTTCATTTATAAATTCTGGAAAAGGTTCCAATTGGTGCGGTTTAGGCAAAAAAGGAACCTTTGTATCAGAAGTGAGATGGAGGAGAATTTGTAGCCACTTAGATCAATGCAGAAAATCCAGAGTAGAATATCCTCTGCAATTCTTTCTCGAAGTGTTGCCTCCAAGGCAGTATTGCAGATGATGCCTGACCAGGAAGGGGCAACCTGAGGGAAGCTAGCATACTGAAGCCAGGAATCTTATCCAGAGAGCCCAAAAGACCTCTAATATTTTGAGAAGCAGAAGAAGCCATTGGGAAAGTGGCAGCAAAGAGCGTCTGGGCTCCTTGGACAAACCCATCTCTTTCTCCTTCCAGAAGGACCGCCCCTCTCTAACACCACTTTCCCTCACATCGTGCCTCTCATTACGCTCCTGGAGCGAGACACGGCACTTCCAGAACATCCAGAGCCCTGGGAGAACCTCGACCATGGAGTGGAGGTAGTCATGGCCCACCTGGAGGCAGCACGCACCGTGGCTCACCACGGGGGACTGTACCACACCAACGCAGAGGTGAAGCTGCAAGGTATGGAACGTGATACGGGCCGAAGCCCACCCCAGATGCATAAGAATTGAGTCTGTGGGCTACAAAGGAACAGGGGACTGCCAATGGAGGGAGAGGAAAGATGAGGGAAGTCCTAGGAAATGTAGCTGGGCATTTGGAGGAGCTCCAGCTGCTACAGACAACATAAACCCTGCTTACCCAGTTAGAGATGAAGCAAAAATAACTGAAATGGGGTCAATCATTGTGGTGGGACTCGGCAGCCGCCAACTTTGATTCCATATTTCGGTCAGAGATCCACAAGGTCACTCTAGAAGCAAGACTGTGGCCAGAATGCCAAACGACTCCCACAGAAGCAGTAAAACAGAGATGCCTGAAGCAGAGAGAAGATTTATTGACCCAGGCAAAGCTTGAAAAGGAAAGAGGGGTTTGGAAGAGAGACCTGTTGCCACTAGAGGGCATTGGTTTCTCAGGATTCAGATCGAAGGGCACGGGGCGGAAATTGCAGATCCATTCATAGTTTGACAGTTTGCCCAAGACTGAAACTACAATATGGTTTGGTCACGACCCCAGCTGTGGCATGTAAACTATAGTTAATGGGTAGTCAGTGTGCTGCGCCGTGTTGTGAGAACACAACCCATCAACTTCACTAGCGTAAGCTCTGTTTACAGCAAAGAATTTGAAAGCGTAAACTTGTCCCGCTGGGCAGGATTTTAATTACATTCTTGTTCCCCTGCAGGCTTCCAGCCACAACCAGAGCTCCTGGAGGTCTTTAGCACCGAATTCCAGCTGCGGCTGTTATGGGGGAGCCGAGGAGCCGAGAGCAGCCAGAGCGAGCGTTACGAGAAGTTTAACAAGGTTCTCACAGCACTGTCCCACAAGCTGGAGCCAGCGGTGCGTTCGAGCGAGCTGTAGCTTGACAACGGGCGCTGGATCCACAAAGAACAAGCCTACAGCTTGCTTTCCGGCAGCAGCACATCTCAGGCAGGCCCGGGGTGATGCCACGGTTATTGTTTTTGTCTGTCAAGGGGACCGAAAGCGAAGCAGTTGAGCCAGGAATTTCTGAGCAGGAGATACTGACAATCAGCGAACAAACCATAGACTGGGTTGATTTCTTTCCTGAGAAACCTGACCGCCACCGACCTCCTCCCGGCGACCGTGGTTAGTCTTGCAAACCATGGAGAAAGATGCACTGGCCAAGCATGTTAGGTATTGGTCATGCAGATTTGATTCACAGATCCACAGCATGGTTTAGGACGGAGGCAAACATTCTCTGAGTAAAAATTCAGTACTGATTCATACCAGGGCATCCCTGAGCTTGGTGCCTCCCAGGGGTGTTTGAAACCAGAGTGCAGGAATCTTCTCCCTGCTCCTTTCATTACTCGGGGGTTCCTCTGCTTTGGTTTCCCTCGTCATTAACTGGAGCAAAGCAGCTTCTATCAGCTTTGGGTGTTCATAGCTGTCTCTGGGGGCCCAAGGGGCTGATCAGGGTTTGTTCAGTGCCCTGACCTCAGAAGGACCTGGGTAGCAGGGCACTCCCACAGACAGCAAGACAACTCCAAAATTTAGCTTTTCTGTTTTCATGGGCATCACTGGCCATCTCTAACATTCCTTCTACATTCAACTTGCTCCATCATGTGAAGTTAGGCTACATGTCCAGAGTCCCAAAGCCCCCATCTCAGTCCTTCCATTTACCAAGTAATATTCCTTTCTTTTCTTTATCTCTTTTCTTTTGTTTCCCTCCATTTTGATGCTGGGGATAGGGGATATTTAGTTTTTCTTCTCCTGTAAATTAAAAAAGAAAATCCATATGGGGTGTACATGTACATATAAATATATATACATATGTATTCAAATCTCATTTGTAAATAATTAACATTGTTCTTTTGGGACTTGTAAATGAATGTACATATACAATGGAGTGTGTTTCCTTGATTCTTGCATACAATAAACTTTTATGCTTTTTTTCTTCAAGAAGTATTCATGGTGAGTTTAAAAATGTTTCCTCACTGCTGCATTGGTCTTTTAAAAAATGATATACTGTATACAAACCCACTAGGGAAGAATGCAACAGTGCATTTTTAAAACAAGAACAGACTGAAAAGTGCAGTTTAGGCACATGGAGAGAACTGTCCCTGATAAGATCAAGAACGGGCTGTTTTATGACTGCATGACCTATCTTTTCAGATATCAAACCCTTTTTATGTCCTGCAAAAAAATAAATTCTTTTTCTGTCTTCCAAGGCATGAGCTTAAAAAAGTAGCACTCTCCTTTAAACCCAGTAGGGCTGACTTCTGAGTAAACCTACATAGGATGCAACTGAAAAGATGCAAGTTTCTTGCAGGGGCTCCATTTGTTTAAAACTGAAATCTCCATTCTCCAGAATAGAAATGGCCCAAGAATTGCCCTTGCTTATTCTAAAGAGACCGAAAAGTGAACCTCAAGCCATCCTGCCCTTTTCAAAGGCTTTCATACTCTTTTCCTTCTAAGGAAACCCAGGCTTGGGAACACTCGAAGGAGCCCCTTGAAACGTGGAGATGGGCTGATAGTAAGAAAAGCATATTTTACCCCAGAGGAGACCTGCTTGAAGTTGGCTGGAAACAGCAAGCAGGCTGCCTTCCTCCCCAGAGGGTGAAACTGACCAGAAAAATGGAAGAAAGCCTGAAATTGACTAGAAACTGAAACAAGTTCCCCAGGGGTGGTGAAATTGACCAGCGAAATTGAAATTGGCCAATTTCTACAGCTTTAGAAAATCAGAGGAGTTGTTGGAGAGCTTGATCCCCCAAGGCATTTCTTAGGACTTCACTTGAGGAAGACCATCGTTTGTTTGGACCAGCGCTTGCTTTTCTGCAAACCCTCCTTTCTCCTCAGCATTTTTTCCTTGATAGCTTTACGTTTTCACCCAGGCTTTCTCCCTTCAGCTAATTTTTCTGTTTTCCTCCCTTTTCCCCTGAATTGCACCCTTTTCCTCTTTCCTTCGGGCTTTTCCTCTCCTCCTTCGCCTCACCTGCCCTTTTCCCACTGGCTTCCCCTTCATTTCTAAATAAATCCCCACATTTGTCTACATCCATTTTCTTCTTCCTTTAAAATTCCTCCTCCAGTCTCTCCCCAAGGCATTTTCTCTTCCAACAACCCCCTCGTTTTTCCTCCTTGCCACCTTCTTTCAAGCTGCTTCTTCCCTTTGACTCATCCTCTCCTATATTTCAGTATTTTCTCAAACTTCCTCTCATAAATTTCGGGGTTTTTTTCCCCCCCAACCAATTTCCCTTGAGATACTTCCTCATTTCCCTTCCTGGCAACTTTATTTCTTTACTCCAAACCCACTTTTCTCACCCTATCTATTACACTTCCCTAAAATACAGGCCCGACTCCCCCCCCCCAGTCATCCAAACTCTCATTTTTCCCCATTTCTCTTCCAGCATCTTTCCCTTCCCTTCCTCTTTGCTTTATAATTTACAATTTCTATAGTCTTAACTTTTTTTCTCCCCTTCAAGCTTCAGTCTCTCCTTCCCTGGCTTCTTCCTGCTATAATAATTAGCTTTAATATATATATATATTTTTTTTTTTCCCCAAGTCTCTCTCCCCTCAAAACCCGCCATTTTG